CGAGTTGTGCACAATGTGGCTCACAGCGTGGCCTGGGACAAGGCTTGCGGGATGGGATATACTGAGGGACTAGGAGGAGCAGCAGCAGACCCAGCACAGGCTTTCCCTGCCGCCTGAGGAGAGTGGTCCCTGCACTGAACATCCCCTGAACTTCTCCCGGGTCTCATCTCAGACAAAACCAGCTGCTTTATAGCAGAAGGAGCCTGAAAGCCAACTAATACGTGTACAGCACAGATGATTAGGGAACCAAGACTCAGGGGTGAAACTGGGAAGGCAGGTCATTTAACAGCATAGGCACGCTCATTATCTTCCCAGTCACAGCCAAAGCACAGGAGGTTTTCTTATAACTTATGTGCAGGGAGGGATATGGAGTATAACCAGGGATGCCACACCAACACCTTTCACTAATCATTGTTATTCACAGAACCCTTGCCCAAGACAGATAGCACAGTCAATGTATGTGGGGGCAGCATGTTCACAGTCTTCTCCTCTGCTCCCAAACTTCCCCCAAATACCTGCATCTTTCTACCAGGAACTCTTCCTCTTTACAGCTCTTCCACTGTTGGAGTCAAACAGAACAAACCGTGCTGCCAACAAGTTGAACCTGACGCTGTGGTCTACAAAGGTGAATAGCCTTTGAAGTTCCTATTTAGATGGTGCACTGAAATTTTAGCCCATCTCATGATGCACAAGTTACAAAACAGAACGTATGTGACATTTCTATTGAATGAGTTGTTGATTTTTTTATGTTGTTCAAAACCAACCTTCAAGCAATTTTACTTTCAAAATTCATAGCCATTGTCCAGTTAGCGGTGATGGTGATTAAATCTGGCTAAGAGTTAGTGGAAAGTCAGACACCATACAGCCTGAGCTTTCAAGTCCCCCTTCAAAGAAATGCCATTGATTTCACTAGAATATCAAGACATTTTCCAGGACTGATGCAGACAGTTACTTGCATATTTATTTTAAGTCACGGTTATGGTCCTATTAAACTTGATGGCACTAGTCACTTAAATAAGCGTTGCAAATGTAGGTCCCTAGGCTACAAAGCAAAAGTAATTGGATTTATATGACAGACTTACAAAAGAGCCAAGCTAAACATTCTACCACATTACAGTCATATCAATGATGAAACTTTAACAGTGTATTTTTACAGCAGTAATAACTTTCCCAAAAGAGGAGGCAGTATTTTAAGCAGAAAATTTAAGTACCTTTTTATAACAACATGTAAAACAATTTATGTTCTAGGTAAGATTAACCAGTGATAAAAACATATTTTACAGTTTTCTGAAACAAGGTAAAAACCCATGGCTACTCTCTAACCATCTGAGGGTAATCAGAATTGCATTGCTAATGCAAGTGAGTCACACTGTTTTAATCTGCTTGGACACAAGTTAGCTAGTCAGCTAAAAATACCACCCACTGAATGTCTACTTACCGGCTGAGATCTCACAAAAATAGCAAGGGAAAACTCAGACTTCCGCACCTCAGGTCACAGGGGATCACACGCTTCGTGTGGGATGGCTAAGGAAAATCAATTGGCTGAGCATATTGTGTTCAGTGTGATAAAGTAGTATATAAGATTTCTATAATCCCCGGACGGCCCAGTGCTCTTTCTACTATGTGAGTGCACATTTCGAATTGGATTTGATCTTGCTCTTGGTGAAACAATTATATCTACGGCTCCTGCAATGGCTCCTCCGGGAGGCGACTGGCACTCTGGAGCGCTAAACCTCCTCCTCCTTCCTTTGAACTTCAAAATGAAGAAGTGGTTTAGAACCCACTGAAAATACAGAAGGTCATGCACTAACTACATAGTTGTGAAAAATTACTTCTAAAAAATTTTATGAAGGGCAAGATAGGATTTGGGCATTTGGGCAACCAGCAGACCAAGAAACTCTTCATTAGAACTGAACCACTGAAGTCAAAGATGCAGCAGAAATGCAAAACACCCTGGGTAAAACGGTACAAAGCTCTTTCTTATCATAATATGTTTAGGGCATACCACAAGTAAGCCAAAGGAAGCAGATGTATAAATACTGCCTTTGAAAAACTCCTTACAATTCTTTCTTCCCCTTCAAAGTAATCCGCTTACAGGTTTCTGAAGCAATTTACTAATAATTTTCATAAAAGTGGCTTCCAGATATCAAAGAAAACAAAAGTTTAATTTCTCCACTGAGGGTTCAGAGATCCAGTAATTGCAACCTAAATTCTAGAGACTGGGGGATTTGCCATCAGCACCGCTGGCAGGTCCTATTCCAGAGCACGCTGCCCAACAACTTGGTTACAATTCTTTCAGAAAAATGAAGACTTACAATTTCATGTGAGACTATTCCTCCTGCCACCAAAGAAAACCCATGCTTTCATAGCATTTCTCTGCTACCAAAGAAATCCACGGCTTCTGAAGTCCACGTTCATATCAAAGCAGGAAACAACTCAAGCTTTCACTCTGACGACTGACTTGGAAAATGTGTACCTTTCACCTTAGTTGTTCAAAACCAAATTAGAAATGCTGTTTCAACAACCTTTTTCCTTCTAGTTGCCCTGGAGGGCAATTCATATAGCTGTCACAGCTTAGTGAAGTAATAATACAATTTCCTTACTAATTCTAAAGACAAATACAGCTTTACTTCCTAAATATTTTACTTACTTATAATATGTATGTCCACAGCAACTAGCAACTCAGCTCCTGGACACAATTTACGGTAGAAGCCACAACTGCGTCTCAGGACACAGTAAGGAAAGTCTTGGCTATTTCTGATCTTAATCCGAATAGTGACCAGAAGAGCTAAGACAATATGGGTGTTCTCTCCACACAAAACCTAAAATAATGGGGTTTACTTCATTTTTTTCCACTATCAGCACTAGTATATTCCATCCCTACACATTTCCCAAAGGACAGAGCGGCTCCAAACATCTTATTTCTGAAACATACTCTGCCAAAAAGGGAATACTTCTTATTAAATCAAAACATTAAAGTAACGTGAATGACAGGGAGAAGATTAGATTCACAATGGAATTATCTTTCTTTTCTTCAGTAAAGCATCTACTCTCCATCATTTTTCTGTCTTTAGGTTATTTAGTGATACTTAGATGACACTTTTCACCACAGAATAGAAGAAATTTGAAAAAACTAATTTTAACAGAGTATGGCATATAAGCAAATAATATTTTAGTTCTAAAATTTTATTAAAATATTAACTGAATGATCTGAATAAAAACACATTAATAAAATCCACAAATAATGTGCAAATTTACCTATTTATTTCGCTAAGATCTGCTCTCTTTGGTATGAATTATTCAGTTGCTATCCTATTCCCTCAGCATTCACATTAATTTCATAAGCAAGCCAAGCAATAACAGGCCCTGAAAACTAAGCCTAAAACTGAAAACACAGACTACATTTCTTTATTTTGGAGAAACATGTATCAACATATTGCATATAGGGTCAGTCAGCATAATTTCTTTAAGTGTAGTAAAAAGTTTGTTACAAGTTTAGACCTGCAATTTCTTTTTTTAAGTTATTGCTATTACTATCATATGAATGAGAGTGTGTCCTGGAAGACAACTCTTGCTCTAGGTATGATCGAAACTCCAGACTCTAAAAACGTCTCCATGCTACAGGACTTAAACATAATACACTGAACATGAAAAAAAATGGTATTTACAAGAAACTTTTTTAGGTGACTGAAAAACGTTTTGCAATTCAATTTTGAAATCCACTCAAACACTACTGCATTCATCTTTGCCAACTGTTGCCTGAAAAACAGACTCTCTATCAGCCTCACTTTTCTTATCCATTCAAGATGACCTCACTTTAAAACTTCCAAGCAATGCCTTCACGTATAAGCGAAGGATACCACTTTTCATACATGGTTTTCAACTTCTTCCTTGGCTGTGCCAAGGACGCCAGTCCACACCGTCCTTTAGACAAATGTTTGCAACAAGCAGTTTGGAACTTTCTTTTAACTAACTCCTACACCTAAGAAGATGCCAGAAAAGAGGTCTTCAAAATAGCTTTAAAAAAACCCCAAACTGACAGCTGGCATGCTGTGGAATTTATTAATCACAGTCAGCTCACTGCCATCCTCTGCTCATCTGTCAACTTGTTGTAATACCTATTGCTCCTCAACTCCTATTTGCAATGCAAGTTCTCTGAAGAAAGGCATATCTTTCATTAAAATGAGGAAATCCCATTACACCGGCATGCCTCATTACAATTAATAAATGGATACAATAAACAGCAATAACAGAGCAAAAAATATGAGTGTTGGCACAGTCCTACTTCTCCAGACAAAGAAAAGAAGGAGAGACTCTCAGTATGGGAAAGAAAACTGGGTAACGGGTCAGCATCGGCTTCGCAAGTCTCCTGTTCAGACAGAGTTCAATCTCACTCTGTCACAGCGACACAAACCCAAGCAGACCGGGAGTGACGTGGGGGTTGCTGAACACGGATGCCTCAGGACATCTAAACTCTCACTTTCGACAAAGAAATCGTAGAACCAGAATTGCTGAGAACCTTCAACCTGATATCCAGGTGTATTTTATCATAGTATTTACCTGTATCCAAAGAATACTACATAATAACTTCCTCAACTAGAACTACTTTTTTTTTGCATAACTTGAGTATTTTGAAGAATACAGCTATATTGAGTGCTCACTGTTTCCATCAGCACTGGACCTTCACAAGAGCAGGTCCATCAGTGTTAGACTACCAAAGCATGCCTTAAGGTTTGATTCTAGGTACTTCGGTACCATATATCCACACTTCTGGGACACTGGCAAGAAAGAGGAGCCTCAAAAGGCTTACCACAAGGTTTTACTAAAAGCAGCACAATTTAACAGACATTATCAGCTTCCTGTAGAAAGGTATCACTGAAAACATAGCTTGAGGTGAATCCAAACATCTGTATGAAGTAATCTAGCCTCAAAAAACCTAGGTTTTGAGGGGGACTTCTTGCAACTCACTCTTGCAAACTTCTGTCCTTCAAATATCTTACCTGATTACATGTGTTAATGTCTATCCCACTTTTCAGGTATTCCACTACTTTGTCCAGATTGCCAGCTCTGGCAGCTCGGAGAAAGCTTGCATTGCTGTCAGACTGTAAAAAGATAATAAGAAAAAAAACCTCTAGTTAGCTTTTGCCTAAAAGAGAGCACAGTTTCATCACCAGTGAAATGTTTCCGCATTTTATGCTGCAGGAGAGTAAAACTGTGAAGAAAACTGACTTTACATTATATCTGCATTAATGAGCATATATGTATTTAAACAAGGCAATACCAGCACAAAAGAACTGCAGACCTGGCAGAGTAAGCAAAATAGTGCAATAATTGCTGAAGTTCAAAATTTAGCAAGAACCAAAGGAAAAAAAAAACCCAAACAAACAGAAGTCATAGTAACCGATATTAGCAACAAGAAAAAAATAAACACATCGACTTGCTAGTCATAGTTTCCTGTGTTTATATATACATATATATGCTCAAAACTCTGGCAAATAATTGACCACTCCTGTCATTGGCCATGCTCTTTAAGAAAACATACATTGGCTTTGAATTTGTGCTTGGCATAAGAAGTTACATGACCGCAGTGCATATTTGTGCACATATGCTGGCTTAACACAGAGGTACACACTGGAGAAAAACCATCTCCAAGAACAAAAAAAGTCCTATGGATGTATTTTATCACCTGTGACACAGAAGTGGGGCATGTTAAAGGGGGGAGGGGGAAAAACAAAAAAAAAAGGCCCACTAAACCGGTCAGCACTGCAAGTGTAGCTAACCACAGACCAAAGCAGCAGATGAAGTACTCAAGCCTGAGTAGCTAAATCCAGGACAATGTGGTAAACACGCTCGCTCCCAAACTGCCTGCATTCATACCTTCACGTTTAAAGCCCCGTTCACATTTATAGGTTTAAAAAAAATAAAATCATGCTTTCATTTTTCAGCTAGGTTGTGGGATGTACTGCTAAGCATGGGAGCGTGAAATGCGTCAGCCCTCTTGCCTTTTATCTACAATTATGACATGAAATTACATTGGCTGTTTGAAACCGGCGCATGCTTTGATGTTCACCCACGTGTGCACCTACACACAGGTAAATCCGCTACCAGCACAACTGCAGATACCAGGGGAAAACACAAAGACATGCAACAGAAGTAATGATTAAACAGAATAAGCTTTTGGGAACGCGCACAGAGACAGTAACAATTTTCATACTTCAAATAAATAAATAGAGTAGGAGTGAGTTTCAAAAAGCAGACACCTAACTGTAAAAGCCTGGTTTGTGGGGATGCAATCAGAGAGGATGCATGCATTCCACTGAAACACCTCCAACTGAGCACGTTTCACATCTAATTTCACCTCCCTGGCAGAAACACCAAGTGAAAACCATTCTTGCACATTGTGAGAATATCCCAAAAGCCTCCCACTTTCAGCTTATTAACACCGATCGACAAAGCAATTTATTTCAGTCACTCAATCCATTTCAATGCATTTATTTTGGTCACCCTACTTATCACGCTGTACGAACTTGCTTCACAATCCCCAATTCCAACCTATTTTAATCTGCAACAGATGGATATCATCAAAATTATTCTTCTTACAACTGCGCTACGTGCCAAGACAAAAATACTTCCTTTTAAATTCCTTTCAGCAAACTTCAGCACATTTTCCGCATCTTTTGCTGTTAAGAAAACAGACCACCTTTCTAAACACGCCACAGGGTGAAGGGGAAGGTAGCGCAGGAATTCACGTCGGCAGAGCCCTTTCTTAGCTTCAGGCTCCAGTCAGGCGAGCGTTTGGATGAGGCTTGACACAGGAGCAGATTCTGACAGGTACTTGAAAGAGATCTCTCTTCAGATCGAAGGACAGCTATTAGCACTGCACTGTCTCCTGTGATGTGTATGTGCGCGTAAAGAAACAAAACTATATTTTAACGCTTAAATGTCCTTCAAAAATCAACTGTCTTGGTAAAAACGTTAACCAAGAACAAATATTTAAGCACAAGGGGTAAATCCAGACACTTGAAATAAATGGGAAAAGCACCTTTGCCCTCAATAGGACACACGTTTTACCTTTGTTTTCCCCATTTTTTCCCCATGCTTTACTACTTCTACAATAATTTAACATGCCAAAGCTACCGTCATCTGGTTTTATACTTTTAAAAGGTTAAGCAAGAATGATGCAACAAATGAACATCGACAACTTCTGGTTTATTACAGATGAATCAATCATCGCTTATTTTTCTTTCACGCAGAGTAACACAAAAGGTTAAAAATGTTAGAGTCTCAATTATTGCTGGAAGCTCAGATTGTAGCTAAGACCATACGACTATATTCCACTTGCTTCTGGCTAAGAAGATGCAAGCAGTGCTTTCAAAATAGATTCTCATTTCCTTGATTCATACTTTTGTTATCTCAAAATTAAATTACTGCAATGCACATCACTTCAAGACACATTACATACACCTGACTATCAATTACAATGCAGAATATGAACTTCTCGTCTACTTGAAGAGTTATTATGAATTAACTTTTCATGATTAACTCCCTGCACAGGTACTTTTATGCCAGAAGCGTCTCTTGCTGTGTATATTCTCACTCAAATAACAGCGCTTGACCGTGAATAGAAGAGGAACAAAACTGCTAAAATCCCAGTGAAACACAACGTGATCTTGACGTTTCATTTAGGTGCCATTGAAAATCCTAGCCTCCATGATCTTTGGGGTTTTATGAAATACTCACTGTAACATGTATGTATCTCATATCAGGTGAATACGACTGTACCCATCTCTTCATAGTGTGGCTTCTCCGATTTCAAAATAGTTTGTCACAGACTTGCACGATGTTCTCATTTATATCAAACTTAAACACACAAATAGAAGACATCAAGCAGCAATTCAGCTGCTTCATACACAAATTCACATACAAATACCAGCGAGTGCTTCCATGAAATACTCAAAAGATTCAGCACTGTGTTTTAAAGCTTAGAAGTCCTAGAAATTAGGAATACTCAGATCTGCATTTTCTTTCCTGGTTTGTCAACTCCCATTTTTCAGCAGGTCATCAGTAGTTTGTCCTTTCCCCCATTCTTTTAAGGTCTTTAAAAAGCATTTTTGTCAGTACTACTGTCTCAGCAATTTACTCACGTTAGCACATTACGAATTCCAATCCATTTTGACAAAATTGTCTCAATAGTCAACTGCAGCAGTTTTCCATGCTAGGAAACTGTGGGTTTTGATCTGTGGGCTTTCCCAACTGATTCAGTAATCTCATGAAATATTTTGTTTCCTTACATGTCGATTTTTAGTTGAACTGATGACGCATTTCAGTGGCACAGAAGTTGGCATATCGGTCTTTACTAGTTTGTCGCCTGGTGAAGACAAACTGTCAACAAACTGTCATCTGAAGGTACTTTCTTTACAAGAAAGAAGATAAAAACATGCAGCCAGAGTCCTTTGCACCACGTGATACTTATCACGTCATCTCTTCCCATGCACACACCCCTGAGATCTTTTTTTTTTTCCAGGAGTTTTACACATGTATGCAGATCATGCTCCAAAGCACGCACTCTCCCAGTAAGGAAAAGAGAGGATTACAAGAGAAGAGTGTGCCGTAAGCAGGTACCAGCAAGCCCGAGACCAGGAGAGGCCCGCAAGCTGGGAAACTCCTGCGCCGACGTGTGAATTTGCTAAGTCTCCGCTGGCCTCTCTCCGTGCCCCCCAGCTCAGGCCAGTCAGAACTACGGACCACTCCGTTTACACGGGGTCACTAAGGCCGGGCAACCTGCTCAGTCTGTTACTAACACGCTATTAGAATAAGGTACGAAGGATCGGAGAATACTTCGCGGGTATTTTATAGCATGGGCCAAACTCACCACCTGTGGACTTCACAAGCTTTTTGTAAGGTACTACTCTGAGATATCCAACCCGCTCCACGACAAATCCACCACTGACAGTACTTAACACTAACATTTAACTGCTCCATAGAGAATTTTTCTTTTCACTACAATCGTGTCTGAATTTAGACTATTTACTTGCAGTTCTACAGACACCAAATATTGATCAAAGAGGAGGACAACACTCACTGTAAAATAAAGAAACCACAACCTCCAATACATACGCAGTAACAGTACTACAAGTCTTTGATAACTACTTCTCTTAAAACCCTGTTTGCAATGCAATTCTAATACATGCTATAGATTTGTGAGGAATATCTACTGTTATTGAACTTTATAAAAAGTTCCTATTTTTTAACTTAACTTTATTAACTTTTGACCGAGGACAAATAATTTCAGGCAGAAATGAGAATTTTCAGAGCACTATGAACAAATTAACTACAATGCGAAAAAAATTGCCATAACCTTAAGAACACTCACAGCAGAATGCAAAAGTGTTCTTTATAACTACCTAGTTGTCAGACATTGCACAAGAAAATATAAGAAATCAAGTGAATATATGAATTTTTCTTTTTTTAATTACTGAGAGGCTGTGGATTCAACTTCTTTCTTGCTAATTGCAATGCCAGAATTTTGCCTATATTTGAAACATAAAGCTCCGGGAATCTCAGTAATCAAATCATGTATGGAAATTAGTATTTTATTCAAATAGACAGAAACCTTCCCTTCCGGCTCCTCTGTGTTCGCTCCAGTTGCCTTTCCTGTCTCACGGCATACCACATCACTTACCGCACATAGCACGCGCCTGTTTCTCAAAGGCATTTTATAGAGATGTGCAAAAATAAATCATGAAATCATATGCTGTACCAAACTCACAGGAATTTCCCCACATACCCAAAGTTGCTGGTGAAAACCAGCTTCATGCTTAAGAAGGAAAGATTGGGAGAGTAGGAGGCTTCAGTTTTCAAAAGACAGCTTTCATAATAACATTATCCAAACCACTCAAATACTTGTTTGAAATCATGTCTATGGTAAAATTATTCCTGCCAGTTGGCTTTGGTTTTTCCCTCCCTCCAAATAAGGTGACTGACCTCAGTCTGTCCATAATCACCAATCTCTCTGTGGGAGAACAGAAGCTACCAACAAGGCCTACTGAACAATTCTCATCTGTGAAGTACAGTTTATTAACTGAACAACAGCAAAAACAGA